CTGAACCAGAGAGTGGGTCCTGTGGTGTTCCAGAACCTTGGGGGAGGGGAAGCGGCATCACAGTGGTGCGCTACATCGACCAAGCTCTCAGACCCCACGTCATACCACATTTCGCACGTCACCGAAACAACATTTTCCAGCATGTTAACGCCCGGGCCCATACTGCCAGAGCTACACGGGACTTCCTACAGCAGAACGGTGTCAACATTATGCAGTGGCCAGTCCTTAGTCCTCATTTAAACCCAATTAAAACATCTTTGGGATGAAATATCATACCAAGGCCGAACACAGCCGATTTTATTACGCAAGGTCTTTCTTAGAGTGTGGTTCCAGGTGCCAATGGCCTTCATCAATCGATTGGTGCACTCCATGCATAGACGCTGTGCTGCAGTTATTGCCGCTCGTGGTGGTCACACTAGATACTGAAGTCAAGAGTTTGAATGGACTGTAAACGTTAACGTAATGTCTTGAAATTGTGCTGAGTTATTCATTGATGTGCCAAGATATTGTACACGAAAAATGTTTTTGATCCGCTTGCTATGTCCATTTCTGTAATGATTTGATTACAGTGCCTATCTATTTTTGAATTCGTACTGACGTTGGTTTTTTTTTTGCTGCTGCGTATATATATACTGAGTCAAAAAAGAAACTTCACTAAATGTAATTTGTAAAATAATGAATATTTTTTCTCTGATGATACATCTATGTATCCGAAATGGGATCCCTATCTTTCGACTCTAGAAAAACGTTAGCAAAACCCACACAAACCCATCCATTCGTCGTGCAAATGACGTTAGTGCCAAATCGCATCGAAGTTTTCTTCATATGCACGTGTTTGCATTGGCCTCAAGAATTGAAAAAACACTTATAAACCACAGTTCTAACGGTACTTGAAATGCCACGATTGTCAAATGTGCAACGTGAACGTGCCGTTGGCATGTTGCAAGCGGGAAGATCAGTTATTGACGTCGCAAGAGCAATGGGATGCAGCCGTCGTACTGTGTATGACTTGCGAGTTCGTCTACAACAAACTGGCACCACTTCTGATCGCCCAAGGTCGGGTCGTCCACGTGTGACGTCACGAGCAGAAGACCGACAAATCGTCCTACGTCACCTACGTGACAGATTTCTGCCGGCTACACGAACCAGGGCTGAGATGTTTAGAGGTCGACTGTCCTCACAGACCATTCGAAATCGGTTGCAGGCTGCCAATCTCCATTCTCGACGTCCATATCGTGGGCCAATATTGACGCCGTTTCATCAACGTCAACGTCTGCTGTGGGCCCAACGTCACCTCCGATGGACCCAGAGAGACTGGAATCGAGTCGTCTTTAGCGATGAATCCAGGTTTACCCTCAGATTCGCGGACGGCAGGCATAGAGTCTGGAGACGACGTCGACGTCGTGAACGGTATGCCCAATGTTGTGTACAGGAAGTCGACAGATTCGGGGGCGGAAGTTGCATGGTGTGGGGTGCTTTCTGTGGGAACAACCGTTCCCGACTTCTGGTCATCCGTGGAAACCTCACAGCTGCTGCTTACCGCGACCAGGTGCTCACCCCTGAACTCGTTCCTTTCATGGCGGCTCGTGGCCCAGGTCTATAGTTCCAGCATGATAATGCTCGGCCGCATACCGCGATGTTGACACGAAATTTCCTTCAAAACGCTGGAATCAACGTCATGGACTGGCCAGCAAGGTCCCCTGACCTTAATCCAATAAAGCACGTTTGGGATGCACTTGGGAGAAGGCTTCGTGGTCTTAGGAACCAACCTCAGAATTTGCAGGAACTTGGCGCTGCCTTGCAAGAGCAATGGCGCAGAATCCCCAACCACGTGTTCACAAGCATCAGGCAGTCGATGAGGAGACGGTGTTTGGCAGTGGTGAATGCGCGGGGCGGCCATACACGATATTGAACTGAGAAATTTCGCATTTTTATTCTTGTGACATTCTGTATACCCATGTTTTGGAACGGCGGTTTAGCCTAATGGAACTGATTATGGCACTGTCAGTGTATCGAGTACATCACACACATCTCAGCAATGAAATAATAACAATTTAACCATCTTACAATCTCTTGTTCTTTTATAGTGCCCTGAAGAAAGAATGTGAAGTTTCTTTTTTGACTCAGTAAATGCATCTGACACGGGTCAGTAAAACAGGTCAGACGTTAAGGATACGTGCACAGATCTACAGTTTTCCCAGACATTACTGAGAAGATCTTTGTTTCCTAATACTGATGATAGACGTTTAACAGGTGTTAATACTCAATATGGTAAGCAGCTCTTGTAGACTTAAGAAGTCCAGCTACAACCCAGATCCTAACCCTATTGAGAATGTGTGGGGACTAATGAAGGACAGAATAAACCAAACAGGACTTAGAAATATAGAGGATATGAAGGAAGAAGTGGTCGAATATTGGGATGCGCTGTCACATAATTTATAACAAACTTTGATCGGTAATCTACTTAGGCGCATTTAGTCGTGTATTGGAGGGCAACGAGGTCTCACAAAGTACTGAAAAGACAAATATAAAAACTGTAAGGGAAACATATCTCAATATATTCATTTAAGTAAAATTAGATATTTGCCGAAACAACTATCTCAATCATTTCTGGGAATTCTATGTACCGCGAGTGAGTGAGTGAGTGAGTGGGGGCGGAGGGAAACCAGATCTTCAAACTGACGAACGAACGCTTCAACCACAGTCACGTTAGGAGCAGGAACCCTAATTAACGTCAAACCCTCTTTAACCATGTTCCAGACAGTTATAGTCCGTTTTACTAAAAGGGGACAGATGAATTGCAATCTAACTCGAAAAATAATATTTTACGCTGATCATAATCAAAACATCATACCCACTCTGTGAGGTTTTTGCAGAATTTTTGTCCTAAAAATAAAAAAGTTGTTTAACAATCTATCATTAAAATATTGACACAGTTCACTGTTTGTTACGAGAGAGGAGTGCAGAGAAAGGGACAGCCAGGTGTATGAATAAATAACTTTGTCTGTGAACGTGCTTCTCGAACACCTGGCTGTCGCTTTCTCCGCACTCCTCCCTCGTAACAAACAGTGAACTGTGTCAATATTTTAATGATAGTTTGTTAAACAACTTTATTATTTTTAGGACAAAAATTCTGCAAAAAACTCACAGAGTGGGTATGATGTTTTGATTATGATCAGCGTTTCATTGAGTATGTTATGTTTATTAGATTTAGAGTTAGATTGCAATTCATCGGTCCGCTTTTGCGCCAAACGGACTGTACTGTTGAGAACTGATAGCGATAGTCTTGTTGATAGCAAAGTGTCCCAGAAAGTGTTGTCAACCCTCTACCCTCTATTGAAACAAGGGGCGGTGGAGTAGCCTAGTGGATAAGGCGTTCGTTCGTCATGCCCAAAACCCGGGCTCGATTCCCGACATGGGCACATTGTGTGAAGCCCATTTCTGGTGTCCCCCACCGTGATATTGCTAGAATATTGCTAAAGGCAGCGTAAAAGTAAACTCACTCACTCCCTATTGATGCTAATAACTTGTCAAGTTCAGTTCGTCATTGAAGATACACTAGCGTCAGTCACTTTAACTTCAATGATTGTCCTGCTGTTTCTGGCCCGTGAAGGTCCGGGTTAGAATTGGTCTTCAGCAACGCTTGCTTGTCAGAGGCAACTAACGGGATCGGGTGGTCAGGCTCGCTGACTTGGTTGACACATGTCATCGCATCCCAGTTTCGTAGATTGATGTTCATAATATCAATCACTAGATTGTCTTGTCCAATTCTATTCGATTATAGCTCGAATATTGCTGAGTGCCGAAGGACTTTCGTCAACAGACCCGTCAAGATCCGGGTTAGAATTGGTCTCCAGCAAAATTTATTGTCGTAAGAGACTACCAACGGGATCGGGTGGTCAGGCTCGCTGACTTGTTTGACACAGGTCATCGTATCCCAGTTGCGTAAATCGCTGCTCATGATGTCGATCACTGGATCGTCTGGCCGAGAATCGATTATTTACAGACCGCCGTCGTATAGCTGTAATGTGTATAAACAAACAAACTACTGTCTTTGTTACCAGTACAAGTGTAGTTCACTTGCCTGTATTTTTGAGACGACGATATAGCCGCTCTCTTAGATTGTGGTAATTCAATTTGCATTTTACAAAGTCTGGTCTTGATGTTTTACCGCAGTCATTGAAATTTGGGATAATACCGTCAGGGTTTAATTTAGTTCGCTGAAAGTCCAAGAGTTAAACCGTTACTCACAATCTGAAATATTTGCCATCAGGAGTTTTCATTTAAAGCTTATAAATGAAAACTCCTGATGGCAAATATTTCAGCTTATCAGGTCTTTACTGAGGTATTGAGACTCGTTGTAACAAAATACATCGAATAACGCAATAAGATTAATATTACGGGTGCCTCTTATGACAAGCATGGGTGCTGAAGATCAGTTCTAACCCGGATCAAACCAAGCGATGTAATTGGCATTACATATCAAGTGATAAGTATTATTAGACAAACCACGTGATGTCATTACAAAACAAACCACGCGATACCATAAGATAAACATGGTTGTTGCTGATGTTGTTGTTGTTGTTGTTGTTCTAGTGTTAGTGTAATACGAATCTTGTGATATCTGTAGTTTTATTCATAGATGACCCATGTGATGCCATTATGCTTACAAGAGCACCCCGGGGCGGTGGGGTAGCCTAGTGGTTAAAGCGTTGGCTCGTCACGCCGAAAACACGGGTTCGAATCCCCACATGGGCACAATGTGTGAAGCCCATTTCTGGTGTCCCCCGCCGTGATGTTGCTGGAATATTGCTAAAAGAGGCGTAAAACCAAACTCAGTCAGTCAGTCAGTACAAGAGTACCCCGGTGAAATCACGATGAACAAGCAGAGATCAGTAGAATCGGGGACACGAGGTGTGTCGCGTGATATGATGTCAGGGTTAGGCAGGTACTCTGGTGCCAAGCTTCTCGAGCAGTTTCATGAGATGATAAAACCAAGATCAGGTTAACACGGAGGTTTTATTGCATAAATAGAAACAGTGACAACGAATATATCAAAAACATCACATTGTACCCAGTAACATTTAAAGAACATACATCCATACAATGGAGGATGAATCTTGAGGGGTCTCACGTAATACCCGATAGTTCATGAAATACATCGGGAAATGTAGCTCAAATATTGGTTCTGTAATAAACCAGAATTAAGGGAGCCCTAACAGATTGTCATATCAAAGAAACTTTGTACATGTCTGTGTAGATAAATAGCAATTGTAATTCCAACCGGTATTTCCTATATTACAACATTAAAGTTCTAATGGGTAGTGTCCAAAATTTAGAAGTTACCACTTGTTCACAATGCTTTGTTTACTCGTTTCTTCTTGTGTTGTTGACCCTGGTAACAAGTTTGTCGTCATGGCAACGTCATGAAAACATGTCGTAGCAACACTGTAACAACCTGTACGACATGCATTTGCGTTCTGTGGCAGCTTTTCATATCATTTGAAACGAGTGCGTGTTTTTGTGTTTGCGTCTGTCCGTTTGTGCGTGTATGTGCTTGTGCGTGATAGTCTGATTTGTAACGCCGCACTCAGAAATATTTTAATTCCGCGACAGTAGCCTGAAATTATCTCGACCAGACAAGCCAGTGTCAGTGAGTCTGACCACCCGATCTTGTTAGTCGCCTCTCACGACCACCATAGATTGTCGTGGTCCTTTCTAACTCGGTATTAGGACAGGATTCATTAGCCGTGATTCAATGTACAGTATGAATGCAAGAATTCAGTTCTACTGAATCACTCCGACTGGCCCTGTTCATAAAACGTACAGAACATTCATTGAACAAGGAATATACCACAACAAGGAACAATATATTATAGTTAGAGTCCCGCTCTAACTTGTCTTCTATCACAGATACATATCGGCGTGACGTCATCATTATAGTCACGTGTCTTCATCCGGGCAACTGACAGAGTTCGTTTTATGAACACAAGAGTTCACGTGTGGGTTCCAAACGAGGCTATGCATGCACGTCTGTATTACCTCCTTTCCGTCGTTGCACATGATAAACTTGTTGCACTTACGTGGGTGGGGGAAAAAACCTTGATCGCGACCTTCACAAGGTCGGATGTCGGGACAATAGAGGTCATTCTTGGCAGGTATGCAGACTTTGATCTTAGGGTCAAAGTACAGATCTTTCGCACATGACATGATTCTTTCGTTTTTGTATTCACAGAGGATATAACGGCTACAGTTGGAAGGGTCTGGGTACAATCCACCATTGGTGCCGTCTGCACAGGGAGTTGAAGAGTACTCTGAAAAAAGAAATGAGATATAAATATATTTCTAAGTTTTCTAAGAGAAGAAAAATGTAGGTCCTGCCCTGCGATTGAGTTGAGCTGTCCGCAGGTTTTAAAACGACGTCATGAATGTCATGACTGGGGACACCAGAACTGGAGTTCAGGAACGAGGGGAATCGAACCAGGGTCATCGGACTGAAGTGAACGCTTTACCCACTAGACCCATTGTCCCATGATCGCTATGTAAATGACTGCCATGAAAGGGCATATGGCAGTCAGTTTCCCGCATGGGACCTGCCTGTACAGACCAACAAACCGTCAAGATAATGGGTGCGGCCCATGCACGCGCCCCCCATTAACAAATGCGTCTGTCCATTTCAAACAAATCTTAAAGAGGCAGTACTACTATAACGTATCTCACCTAAACGTGTCACCGTTCATCAACGAATATTTTCTAAGAACTGACACTAAATTCGTACGATTTGCCAATGCTAGCTCACTGAGACACAGTTGCCTCCCTTGATTCGAGAAAATGCTGAATTCATAACCAACCTGGTCTTCCTGGATATATTATAGGTGGCGGGGTAGTTGTACTTCCGGTTCCGGGTCTGTTTGTCGTTCCGGTCACGTGACTGTCGCCTGTTTTATGCGTCACTGGCGCGATGACGGATTGAGGCGAGGGGACGGGAGGGGAAGGGCACTTGACATCGGGGGACGGAGGGACACAGATCTTCTGGTCTGAGTCGAAGACGTGGTTATTCTGGCACACCCGAACTATTGACTTGTTGTGTTGACACTGAAAGAACAGCCTGCAGTCTTCGGGGTAGGGGTAGTACTGTTGCTCGCTGTTCGACTTACAGGGGTCCCACGGGTCGGCTGGAAGGGTCAAGTTCACATATGTAATGATGAGCGATTAAGAGTGAATATAAAAGAATAAGAGTAATATTGCAGTATTGTTGCGGTGAGGCGGAGACATTTTTGCTTCACATTATTGTTATGTAAAAGTCAATAATTACGTCACAATTACGACACGAACATTAGGATGTTTCGCATTTTGCTCTTTGGGCGCTGGAAAACCAGGAAGTGGTGATTGTTGCTAGATTTTACTGACGCTTCTTTCAGCTATTTCGCTCATCAGCTAGCTGCTCAAAAACGTGTTCTGCCTGCGTTTTGGACGGTTTCTAGCCCTTAAGTACACTGCAAACACCCACAACTCAGTCAGCAGAGGTACAGATAAGCTGCGTATCTGCGTAAATTACGCAATTGTTTTTGGGAAAACTCAATTCCTATTAAGTCTATTGCGTACAGCGTACAAGTACGCTTGAATTTTTGTAAATACTCAATAAATGTGATCTTACATGCGTACACACAAAAATGTCAAATCTTAGCTTGGGTACCGGTGGATAGATAAAATAACTTAGGTATATTGAGAGGTTCTATTTCAGGACATGAACGTGACAACGTGACAGCAGTCTTTCTTATCATTTTTCATATTACAGATGAAACATAAATAACAAACACTAACATTTAAACTTTATTATATTTTTAAAATTAATGGAAAATGGCAAAATACCCAATTGAGTTTGAGTGAGGTGAGTACAATTTATTTGGTTACTCAAAGGAAAATTAGGATACCCAATTGAGATGAACACAAGCGAGTAAATAACTCAATGACCCAAAATGTTAGCTTTAGCTCTGAGTCAGTCAGTCAGTTTTGCTTTACAGGAAGAGCTGGGCTCTGGGACTGTGAGACAGGGTATATTATATAAAGAATGACTGAGATTGTCTTAAGCAGAATGTAATCATTCGTGGCATCGGGATATATTCATACATCCAAAGGCCGTTTTGTCGAAATTCGAGGTGCCGAACGTGCAGTTGTCCGAAATTCGGAATAAAAGCTTGCACCCTGTGTTTTCCTTGTTTAATCATTTCGGTCATGTTTCGGGTGAGTCGAACCTCTGATATATACGTAGGTCATCTTCGACACAACGGTGCTTGACTGTAATAATGTAGGGAGGATTCTAATGTTTAAATGGAAGAATATTTTCGATAGGTTTAAGACTTTTAAAATTTAAATATTTTAAAATACCTTACATTAACACAGCTGTGATAAAACAAGTGAACAGTTTACGTTTTTGTATGATAATGTCTAAATCTTGTTTATTCTTACCTGTACACTGCATGTTGTCGTTCTTGACAGTGCACACCTTGAGCGTGATGTTGAATACCGTGCCGGTAGGGCAGGTAAACAGAACACTCTCCCCGTTCAGGCACTGGATGTAGAGGTTGCACTGCCGAGGATGTTGTATGTAGTCGCCCGTCTTACCCACACATGGGTCGGGTGCTGGAATACACAAACATTTCTCATGATTTATGCATTCAGAAATACCACAGCATGTTTCTTTATGTTACTTTTAATTGAACCGAGTGAGTTGGGATTATTTTCGCTATGAGCAATATGCTGACGTGCAAAAGAAAGTACACACACCTGGTTGAAAATCTCGTGATCGTTTAATGTCCGTTTTATGTGATTGATGACATAATATTTTCACATAATACAACTTCAGAAACTGTGTTTCTGTACCCCCGTCGTTCAGTAAACTGTCCCATGTAGTGCTGTTTGATTTGAAGCCACTGGAGTCTGCAGAAACTCCCATACAAAGGAAACCTAGTCCAAATCTTTTTGGAAGGTGAGTCAATGAATCATTGATTGTTGATCTCCAAGTCATTTAATCGATGTTTGGGGCCTAAAGAGAGTTGCTGACTGCTGACTGCTGACCTCATTTGCATGGTAATGCGCTCGGTGAAAATACTGTCCAAAGTGGCACTGAATCTCACTCACTCACTCACTCAATCAAACACACGAGACCAAGCATAACGCTCTTACTGGATGACCGGGGCTGTTGTGTAACAGAAGCGGTGGATGGCGTCACGGTAGGCGATGACGTTGATGTAGATGAAGTTGACTTCCTTGTTCTACTCGTCGTCGGGGATTTAGGCGACGGAGGTGTCGCAAACGTAGACGTTAATTCTTCGTCATCATTGACCTTCTCTACCGTGACCTTGGCACTGGCAATATCCAGTTTCAACTGGTTTATCTGGACCTGTCCATATCATGAACAAGAACATTAAGACGCTGTTTCAAAATGGTTTCTCTAGTATACAGCAACACTTAGTCGTAGCTACTGGTGTAACGATGCATCGAACTATCGACGAATCGACACGAACAATAGTATGTGTGACTATCGATAGTTTAGTGATGGTTATTTATTCTTATTAAATAGTTGTAAGGTATTACGGTCTGTTTGCAGTGAAAACGTACCGATGAATTTCACTTTAAACAAAAACGTAAATCAAATAAAGTGAAATTAGAAGTACGAATCCTCATGATTTTACCTTGCCAATTGAACATTTATGTCTCAGAATTGTATTCAACTTAGGATAAAAGTTGTTTAACAAACGATCATAGTTTCAAATCGGTATTGTTGGTTTGTATTACAAGGGGGTATGCACATTAAATGAAACACCGAGAAGAATTAGGGTTGGTCTAAGTTAACGCCCATCACGTACCACACGTGCATTTGTATCACTGTTCCAATTACTGCGTTTACTCCCTTGTAATACAAAGCAATAATAGCGATTTGAATCTATGATCGTCTGTTAAACAACTTTTATCCTAAGTTGAATAAAATTCTGAAATTTATATGTTTAATTGGCAAGGTAAAATTATGAAGATTCGCAATCTTAATTTCACTTTATTTGATTTACTTTTTTGTTTAAAGTGAAATTCATCGGTACGTTTTCACCGCAAACAGACTATTGTAATGACTTCAACTGACAATACTATTGCAATAATTAGTCGCAATGTACTATCGCTATCGCAAGAGTATGTTGTAATAGATGTTCGCTATCGCAGTAGTTGTTTCACTCTCAGTCTGTAGTCGTATGATATGAAGCTGCACCTACCATCGACTTGCCCCTATCTGTAGCACGGCCCTTCAGGACGTCGACAATGTTGTCAGTGGTTGCCTTGTCTTCCTCGTCCTCAAAGAACAGAGTAAACTTAATCTTGTTGTTCCTGAAACAAGACGAATATTTGGTCAACGAGTGATACCAAACAGCGGTAATGAGTCATGTGGTTTAGCTGCAGAATGGTATATTAATACGTCGAGGATCCAAAACATGAACATCTTTTCTGAAATCTATTTACGGTTTGAAAAAAAATGACAAGATTATAACCAATCCAAACAAAAAGCCTAGTGCTACTTTAGTGCATGCATGCATAGCTTGTATGCAAAAGAAATTTTTTTAAATCGCATTTCTGAATACGTTGAATTTTGCTGAGAAGTTAGAGTTAGATTCGTCATAAACGACATCTCGAGATAACGGATTCGAGTAAACCGCATCATGACCGCTTTTTGGTTTAGTGAGTCGGTGGTAATGTTTAAATGACAAAACGTTTATTGAATATAAATCCACTTACGTGATTGAGTCCACTTGGCATTTTTTATATGTATCTTGAAACAACGAACTCTCTTTGTAAAACAGATCCACCTGAGAAGACAAATAATATGAATTAAAGTCAAAGTTTACCCAGAGACGCTTAATTCAATCAGCATTGTAGTGAGTGATCGAGTTTAGTTTTACGCCGCTTTTAGCAATATTCCAGCAATGTCACGGCGGGGGAGACCAGAAATGGGCTTCACATATTGTACCCATGTGGGGAATCGAACCCGGGTCTTCGGCGTGATAAGTGAAGATTAAGCCACTGGGCTACCCAATGGCTATCAGCATTGTAACACGTGTGTGTTGTTCACGCAAAGAGGGGCGGTGGGGTAGCCTAGTGGTTAAAGCGTTGGCTCCTCACGCCGAAGACCCGGATTCGAATCCCCACATGGGTACAATGTGTGAAGCCCATTTCTGGTGTCCCTCGCCATGATGTTGCTGGAATATTGCTAAAAGCGGCGTAAAACCAAACTCAGTCAGTCAGTGTTCACGCAAAGATGCTTCATTGTGTTTGCAATATAACGTGTGTATGCTATTCAATACTATCAATGAATACCTGATTAAAAGGAGAAATGTTTCGAAAATACCCACGAAAACAAGTTAAGGAACACCCACAATCGACGATTGTGCTGTGCGTTGCAATACCCACCAGATAAGGCAGATTAACTTTAGTCACGGAAAATATCGGTTCTTCTCAACTTCTTTCCCTGCATAGATGACTATCAAACAATGTTACGGTTTTGTTTGTATGTTTGTTTTTTGTATATTTGATTGTTTGTTTACCTGTGTTTGTTTGTTTGCGCGTGTGCTGTTTGATACAGAGATCAGTAAGTTTCCAGCTACAGCATAGGGCCCTGTACAGTAACTGTTTTCAACTACATGTATCTTTCACATATCAACGTCGGGTGAGAAGGAACGTCAAGAAACGTAAAGCGTTGGCCGGGTTCGATCAAAACATGGGTGTAATATGTGAAGACAATTTTCGCCACCAAGAAGCAGGAATATTGCAGGAAAACTGTCACAAACACTTGTCATCTATACACTTGGCCACTCACCCACTTTAATGTGTTACACTTTCCTGTCTACATTCCACTAGACTGACAAATACCATGTGTTCATCATTGTGACACGTTTTTCTACATATTGGCAGCTTACTCAATCATCTGTACAAACAATGGCGCTGTGTTGAAGTCTTTCAATCACAGTTTGGTTTACCTCGCTATGACGTACGTATCTCACCTGTTTACAGTAGGACTCTGTCAGATTCTGTCTCTGCCGTAAACTTAACGTTTGAACGTTCACGCCGGACGTTGACATTGACATCTCAAGCTGTGCCCTTAAAATCTCTGAAAAATACATATATTAAATTAAAACTGATTAGAAACGACAGATTCCATTTACAGTAGAACACGGATATAACGAACTCCAAGGGACCAAGAAATTTAGTTCGCTATATCCGGTGTTCGTTATTCACATTTGACCGCCATCTTGGATTGTAGAGATGTAGAGACACGTATATGCTGAGGCTACAAATCTTTATTCTTATACATGTATATTGACATAACATTAAAATTCTGAATTTATCATTCACAGACATAAGCTAGAACATGTTTAACTGAATTGATTCTCCGGTGATACAATAGACTGACGAAGAACCATGAGAAAATATGTGTTAATTGTTAATGTCAACACAGAAGATGGAATAAATCATCTATTTATCTGCCATGAAAACATTGAAGCTTTTTTATGCAATATGTTAAACAAAAGAAAGCATACACTTAAAAATGGATTTGAAAACAATATATGTATTATCAAAACGTTGCAACTGTGAAAATGTCCGCAACACCACCAACCTAAGTCTAGAACACAACAATAAACAATCTTGTCGTTTAATGTTCAGTCACCATTAAGCATGGGTTTATACTTGTATTTCCCCGAGAGTTAGGTAGTTCATATATGTATTGTTATTTGTCTCACCTATTGTTTGTTGTTGAGCATCTGCAAAGAGAAATATATAGATATGTAGACTAAGGTTATGCATTACAGCATTTCTGCATATGAATGATTTTAAAACATGAGCCAGACTAGAGCTTATGACCTTTATATCGATATTTCAAGTGCATTTTGTTTTTTGTCGTATTTTTATTTGTTTATTTTTTGTCATTTTAAAAAATATTATTTTAAATTTCCAGTATTATCAATCAAAACGTGACAGGAAATTGAAACATGGGCTGAAACAATGGCCTCTCTGTTCATGTCAACCAAAACGTCTGTCTGTTTCTTCCTTGATAAAATTTCCACAAAATCAAGACCATAAATGTGAGTTGGCTGGTTGGTCTGTTGTTTACCCCCGCACTCAGCAATATTCCAGCTATATGGCGGCGGTATATAAATAATCAAGTCTATACCAGACAATATAGTGATCAACATCATGCGCATCCTTCTACGTAATTGGGATACGATGACATCTGTCAACCAGGTCAGCGAGCCTGACCACCCGATGCCGTTAGTCGCCTCTTACGACAAGCATGGGTTACTGAAGACCAATTCTCACCAGGTATACCCCATTGTTTATGAGGATAGTATTTTATTCATATATGTAAATTAAATATATTAGCGACAAACGTTTTTGTTGTCACCCTCCGGCCCAATTCTAAGGGAGCTTTACACATCTTCCTCTTCCCAATCTAACTCCTATCGAAATACATTTGTGATACAGGAGAAAACCAGCCTTTCTTATTATTCAAGCTGTCAGAAGGGGAAGTGGGGGTAGTCTAATGGTTAAAGCGTTCGCTCGTCACGCTGAAGACCCGGATTCGATTCCCACTAGGGTACAATGTGTGAAGCACATCTCTGGTGTCCTCCGCCGTGATATTGCTGGAATATTGCTAAAACGGCGTAAACCCTTCCTCACTCACTCAAACTGTCAGTTTCTTCTCCGGGAATTTCTCTAAAACGCACATTTCCCGAACGGATTACTTATTTGTCAACAAGACACTTAAATCGGATTTACCATCGTCATTACTCTGATAACACTGAATCGTAAACCGTTTAAGAATAGAGTTTCCATAGCCAAACAAGTTGCACGGAAACCTTAGGTAGCGACCAAAACCTGTCGTCACTGTAAAGAGCCTGTAAGCTGTCACGTAGAACAGAAAGCACGGCAGCTCCGGGCAGTGTTGTGGCACTGACATCTGCCATGCCTGACTGGCAGCCACGAAGTGACTACCACTCGATAAATACACCTTCATACAATCCGTTACTGTCTAGCACCAATGCAATCAATGTCCTGCTTTATTATAAATAACTGTTTATTGTTTATGGGAGTGATTTTCTAACAACGTGAAACACAATAATGCTTTAAAAAAATCTCATTTATAAATATATTTTATGTTATTGCAATGATTACATATATACAGACGTATTGCCTGTTGTTTTCACACAGCAATATTCCCAGTATATGACGGCGTTAGGTATAGAATCAATCAGGACCAGACAATCCAGTGATAAAAATTATAGGCAAGTGGAAAGAGTAAACTAAATTGGGTGTTGTGTTGGGTAGCCTAGTGGTTAAAGTGTTCGCTGGTCATGGTTCTTCACGGTCATATTGCTGGGTTATTACAAAAAGCGGCGTAAGACCCAAACTCGCTCGCTCAGTGACGCGAGTGAGTGAGTGTAGTTTTACGCCGCTTTTAGCAATATTCTATCAATATCACGGCGGGAGACACCAGAAAAGGGTTTCACACATTGTACCGATGTCGGGAATCGAACCCGGGTCTTCGGTGTGACGAGCGAACGCTTTAACCTCTAGGCTTCCCCACCGCCCCCTCAGTTATGGAGCGATATCCCAGCCTTATAACGGCAATGGTGTCCACAAAGGGCTTTCCGTGTGGGAATCATACACCTGTATTTATATCCTATCTATAAACAGTTGTTTGTTGTTTAACGCCACGGCAATATTGCAGCTATATGAAGGTAGTCTGTATATAATGTAATTAACGTCATTCCAGTGATTGACATCATGAGCATGAAACAATCAACTAAATCACCGAACCCGACCCGATACAGTTAGTCGCAGGGGAGATATTATTCTTAATATAAAGAAGATGGGGGTTTGAAGTTTTTCGATTTCTACTAAATGCCCTGAATTAATTTGAAGGTGAGGTGAGGTGAATTGGGTTTAACGTCGTGCTTGAGAATATTTCGTTCATATGACGACGTGCATGCGTGTGTATGTGTATGTGCGGCTGCTTGTACTAGCCCAGATTTAAGCTGGTTTTATAGTGCTTGCCCACTGAGATACCATGCCGCAGTGAAGCATGAATACCGCACTCAGACACATTATACTGACTCCGAGCCGACCAGTCCTTGTTGTACCCATTAATGCCGAGCGTCAGGCAGGGACCAACAAGTACTATATTTTAACGTCTTTTGGTATGACGCGGTCGGAGATCGAACCCGCGACCTTCCGCTCTCCGGGCGGACGCTCTGACCAGTACACCACGGAGGGAATTAATTTGAATCAAGAACAGCCTCAATTATCGCGATTCCTTTGAATCACGACCTCTTTCTCACAATAGCACGTGACGCCCTGTGAAGATACACTGCCCACGTGGCACTTTTATATAGGTATAATCCTTACAAGCCTTTGTTTATTGCTGTCGCCACCCATCTCTAAAAGCGGTTACAGTTTACCGTGTCACCAGGTCACGCGAGAACATACGTTATCTCGCGTTAGACCAGTGACCGAGATGTTATAAGTGACTTTAGTACACTGACCGGGTCACGATAAACCGCGTCAATGGCGCCTCGAGCCGTGACCACTGTTCACGTATCGTGGGCCATTTCATTGTATAAAGCATTATTACATTGCTTACATTGCTTTGTATTGCTGATATTGCTCAAATTCTTGCTAAAACAATAAGTTACAATATTTCTGAAGTTGCTGAAATCATTGCCGACAATGATGACATTATTGTAGGTGTTGCTGAAATTATTGCTGATATTGCTAACCATTGTTGTTATTGCTAAACGGACAAATAAATGTTAAGTCTTGTGAGAGATTAAGTTCATCGGCCCAATCTAAATATTTGCGTTCAGTATTATTGCACTTGTATAGCGACGTTCATACATACGTGCGTGCGTGCGTACGTGCGTACGTGCGTGTTGTAAGTAGTCCGGACTACCGCCGGTTTAACAGCGCTAGCCCTTTCAGATACCATGCCGTACTTTGACATGGAAACCCAACTAACAGGATACATACTGCCTACTAGCCTGTCTCACAGTCCCTGAACCACATTATTTTCCCTACTGCCAAGCCCTCTCAGCAGTGCTAAAGCCCTAAATAAAGCAAGCCTAGATTTCCTCAGGCTCTGAATCTCTGATCTCCGTAGGGCTCCTTTTCAATTTAAATGGGCTTGTTTGTTACTATCAAAATTATATATATTCAGAGACTAAGCAATAGTCTAACTGCCTACCTAACAGTTCCTTTTGTATTAATGTCTTACGGCAGGCAGGGAAACAACAAGTACCTGATGTCTTCAAGTACGACACTGACAATAACACCGAGGCGGCCTCGATATCATACACCTGAAGAGAGAAACATGCACTGACTTCAATGAACTCACCTTTCAGAACCGTAGCGAAGTAGATGGCGGCGCCAAGACTCGCCGCTAGCGTGATGACCAGCACACACATTATAAGAGGTCCGAACAGTTTCTTGATGCGTGTAGCGGGCGTTTCTATAAATTCAATAGGGATCTCAATAGTGCTGGAGGTTTGAGCAGTGGGCTCGGGTTTATTGTTATTATTTGAAATCAATGATGATGATCTAGCGGACTCCCCACTTCGCCGACTTGGAGTCGAGCTTGGGCGACGTTCTTTGCCCGACCTTGACCCCGCTTGACGTCGGTCACTATTTGCGGTGAGCGATGTAATTTTTGTCTCGTCACTTTTACCGCTCACAACGCTCTCACTACGCCCGCTTTTAGCACTCTTTCCGCCAACACTGACCTCACTCCGAGTCTCACCACGCAGGTCACTTCGGGAATCACTACGCTGGTCACCGCGCAGGTCACTTCGGGAATCTGTGCGTAAGTCAGGGCGCAGTTCAGTTCTAGAATCAGGTCGCAGATCAGTCCGGGAATTACGAATGTCATTACGAGGATCACTTCGAAGGTCACTGCGCATGTCATTGCGCAGGTCACTGCGAGGGTCATGGTCATGCAAACCTCTTCGCCGATTCAGGTGATCACGATCGCCATTTCCGTCAGAGTCTAACTGTTGGCGCCGGAAGTGGGGCGCCTCGTTACGCTGGCCGTTCTGATTGTAGTCTCTATCTAACAGATCACTTTCAGAATAACGTCTGTTTTGGGAACGAAACGGATTTTGCAAGTCACTCATTTCAAACACTGGGTTCCTGACGCCGCCGACGAATCGGAAATCTGTTCCCCGCTCCAGAAACTGATCTTCAGGGATTGTGTCCAGGTTTCCACCCGAACCTATTCTAGGAAATAACGACGAGGCTGATCTTGAACTTGCCTGAGCTGATGGCCTTGACCCTTGACTGGAAATTGCCGTGGCAACGGGCGAAGCACTCGGTGCATTTCCGTAGTTGTATTCTGTTTGCCATTTCAGCGGTTGGTACTGAAACAGTGAAATAATGTATATTCATACAACAGCATTATGAAAGTTAGAACTGACAGTGTTTCTATTTAAAGGTTAGTTTCCATGACAACAAGATCCGGAACCCTGTTAGCTGCATTTGTGTTTCTTGGTTTGCCACAACCATACCTGTGCTCGTGGCTGCGAGGGCCGGCATTACTTCGGTCCGTTCTCAAAATTGAAGCTGAAATGCCGTGATAAGTGGAATACTGTTCAAAGGTGCGATAACCTAACTCACTCACAGCATCAATCACTCCCGGAACGGGGATGAAATAGTATTGCATGTAAGAGCATAAAACAGGTCTGTTTTGAACAAAGTCTCTTTGACAAGCACACCTTGATCATATCGGCGTTATGGTAGTGCCTTTTTCTTCGTCAGAAGAACCAAAGCGTTAAGTCATTTAATGCCCTTCAAGGCAAATACTAACACAATTTTTAGTATTACATCTTGTGCAAAACCGATTTTCTTGTATTTGGAAGCTCTGTAGTTAAAGATTTCACTCGTCACGCCTAATGACAGAGTTCGATTCCCTTAAGGTGCGTAAAAAAAAATGTGAAAAACCACGAGGAGTAAGTATTCTGTTCTAAATTTCAAACAATTCATTACCGCATTAAAAGTAAATACAATCCATTTTTGATAATATTCTGCAAAATAAGACAAAGAATTAATGAACTTGCACAAACCTGATCTTTGGCTGTTGTGTTACTAATATACAAATGATTTCTATTCCCAACACGAAGTCTGGCTGAATTTTCCGTCGGTCAACATTAAAAACGTTAACAATTCACGTCCGCTATCTGGACAGCTTTCTTGGTTGTTTTTTATAACATTATAATTTTACCAGCAATACTCACTTCACAGATGAAAGGATTTGAGGACCAAGTTACCGGAGCTGATCTCCGTTCTGAGAGGGGTTTCGGCATAATCCAGAGACCGACAACGGAGCCCTACGACTCTCCCTGAGTGCAGCGCCACCTTCCCTGAGAACGACAGTCCGGGACTGAGTGACTGACGGCAATCAGGGGAGGTAACTCAATGTGTCACATCTGCCACTATGCAATAAACACCCATCTGTCAGCACCGTACAAGGATTTGTATGGATGGCCGTACATGAAGTTTAACATGCATCGCGCTTGCGCTGTAATCCTTTCATAGCTTCTTATGGGAGGAAATCAACAACTTCCAAGAATCCATGTATACGACCATGGACAGGAGTGGTTTAATTTTTGTACTTTTCTGATTAAAATTAATGAGTTAGGAACGTGCTCCTGTAAATGGGCGTCAGCTGTTTAAATAAATTATTATTAACATAATCATCGTTAGAATAGTGTTATTGCACAATCGCCAGACTTGAAATACATATTTGGGAGAGATTAGCTTTTTGGGAAAGGGTGTTTCACTTCATATAAAAAAAAGCCAGTGCCAAATTCGGAACTTTATGTTTTTGGCCAAAATTAACTCAGATAATTGTCTCTTGTTGAAACCATATTACGTCATGATTTAGTTACAGTGATATTAGCATCCTCAAAGCAAGGGCGGGGCATTACCCAACACACACGCATCAACTGTACTTCACGTCACGAGCGTACATTTGGTACGCTTCGCTACATCCAAACCAGTCATCATCTTGAAGCAGGGCTTTAGGGACATAACCTGATTTTAAAAACAGTTATTACGTCATATTACAGGGCGGGATTTGGCAGGAAACACATATTAAAGTTTCGGCGCATAATAGGCTTCACCATGTGACTCTGGATGCTGTATTTAACGCACCAACATATTTGCATATACTGTCTGTTGGTTATGAAGATCACGATACAAAACGGTGTTCATGTCGTTCATAAAGATACATCCATTTCGTTTTGTAAAACAATTTTTACTCATTTACAGATATAATTCGTTTGTACAGGAATACATGTATGTGTACCAGGCTGTACAAACCAGTACTATCAGTATAAAGAGGTTCAAGCCAAGCCTAAATAAACAGAAAATTACAAACTATTATCAACCCTCAACAATAATTATTCTAAAGATTTTGAAGGTACCAGCTGCCGAATATGGTCGCTGTTCATGGTGCATTTTAATCACAGACCGTTTTCGTCCAGTAGAAAAGGCAACTGAAATGCTTTGGTTGACAGTAAAAAAGACTGATTGTTATCTATATCTAATGACTCCCCGGTCTTAACATACAACACAGTGAGACCAGAGCCTCCCTCAGGTTTCCATATGGAAACCTAACTGACCGTTATGAAGAGCCTTAGTGTGGTGAAAAAGACAATGCTTAAGATCTAATTCAGTAAACTTTTGGGTGGATGAACCCTTAAACCACATCAAAGACTGACATCTAGTAATGTATATCTGAACTGAATATAGATTTTAACAAAAACAACAACAAAATAGGCCTCAACAAATTATAATAAGCAGCCACATTCTTGACAAATACTGACCAGACTTGCTTGGATCATGTTGGATACAATTGTTTGGGGAACTACATGACCTTAATTGTTTCAGATTGTTTGTGTGACAGACCAGCATAGATTGTATTGTTCCACGTCACTACATCAGTGTCATGCGTCCCGGGCTGAATGAAGCCGTGTAGTACCCACGAGACGACTCATTCCCCGCATCTGGCGTCTAAGTAAGTTAATCGAAGACCTACCTACAACCTAATTGCTCTTTGACAGTAACAGATGACACATGTGTCTCAAATCCAGGCAAACGTCTGAAGTCAGAGACTTCATGATCTGTCAGACTGGTTGTAAACAACTTAGGTCGATAGTTAACACCATGCGCCCATCTCGTAAACTGTCACTTCCGCCCTAACATACACCAAACACTTCGTAGGCGTGTTATTGTTTCAGATGTTGAAATGAAAGGGCCCATCAACGGACACAACAAGTCCTGTTCTTCAAGAAGATGTTCTTAACACGGTCGTCCTTGACCCTTGACGGATATATGCTAACTTGACATGACAGCTCGACACCGGAAGTGACTTTGAAAACGATATGGCGAGAACTGGACATTGGTCATGTTTCTCGGCTGAGGGATTGGTAAAGAGAGGTTGTTCTTGTCTATGTTTGATGTTTGGGTGGGGTGTGTTTGAAGGGAAGACGTATGTGTTGTCCATGTTGTGGTTGATGACGTGCATGCAGACGTCGACAGACGGCGGATGGGATGTGGAACATAATCACTTATACTTTGCTGACAAACGTTTCACTGTTGGTAAACAAGGTCAGAAAGGTCACTTCAGTTACTACTATCTCTAATGAGTGAGCTGTTTTTAAATTTACGGATGGTTGAAAGGTTTGCCTGAGAGTCTCACTACAGTTGTCCCTTAACACTTGGCATGTATTCAGTGCAAGACCCGGGTTAGCATTGGTCTTCAGCAACCCATGCCTGCCTTAAGAGGCGACTAACGGGATCAGGTGGTCAGGCTCACTGACTTGGTTGACACATATCATCGTATCCCAATTTCGAAGTTCAATGACGATGGTGCTGATCACTGGATTGTCTGGTCCTGACTCGATTATTTACAGACTGCCGCCATACAGCTGGAATATTGCTGAGTGCGGCGTAAAACAACAAACAATAACCAATTCCATGCTTACAGCCAAACACATGACCACACTCATTTTACATTTGCTACCTTTTTGTTTGCCTGTTGGTTAACGCTGCACTAAAGTCCTGCTATATGAAGGCGGGTTGTAAATAATTAAACTTCCTTTTGAAACATATTTTATTCTCAAAATTAAATTTTAAAAAATAATGATGAATTACAATATGGACAGTAACCCCACGATTTTGCCAACTGAATCTAAGTCGGCAAATACTCGAAACTGATTGTGAAACTGACACTCGAAACTGATTGTCCCCAGCGTTGACGTCATTATATATTCACACAAAATAGAAATAATTCGAACTTTAATGTCTCGAGGTTCAAAGTATTCTGATGGCATACGATCCGATGCACACAACTGCTATCTCACGCTTTGAAAAGAAACAAGCGAGGAATGAAATATTTCAAAATTAGTCACTTGCCTAAGGTGAGATCGAAAGATTAGCCTGGATCTTTTCAGTCTTCCAAACAGAGATGCCCTCGGCCGTTTAATTCGTTCGTCACAATGACACAGCTACCTAGATACAGAGCTGTATACACCCATCCAGTATCTCATTAGCGTTACATAGGGCTAAAGATCAGCTGCAGTTTACTGTTATGATAAGCACAGTGGCAAATATTACAGCTGCATTATATAGCACAACTATTCCGTTGTAAGTCACTGCACCGCGTTAATTCTGACCTGTTCATTTCTGTTTTGTGTGTTTGTTGTTCAACGCCACAATATTCCAGCTATATGGCGGCGGAGTGTAAATAATCAAGTCTAGACCAGACAATCCAGTGATCAACATCATGAGCATCGATCAACGCAGTTGGGTTTACGATGACATGTGTCAACAAAGTCAGCGAGCCGGACCACTAGGGTTGGGTATTGCAGAGAATTTTCATATTGCAATATATTGCGATGCGAAAGCATATATTGCGATATGTATTGCAATATATTTCAAGAAGTTCTTTTTTAACAAAAAAACTACTTATAATCGAGTTAATGCTTGATTAATAAAGCAAAAACACAACAAAATCACCATGTTTGATTAAGCTTTAATAAAAACTTTTAATCATGACAAAATAAAAATGTAAATAATATTTGGCACAAATAAAACAAGGAAAGGAACAATTTAAAAAACGGAAATATCCAAAGATTTCCGAGTGTTACGAAGTCTTTTCGAATGCATGTCAAAATACCGGTTTTGAATCAGCGTATCGCAATACGTATCGTTTTCATGTCTGAACCGGTATATACCGGTAAACCGGTTATATTGCGCAGCCCTACTGACCACCCGATCCCGTTAGTCGCCTTTTACATGGATTGCTTGAAACCACTGCTAGACCTGTTCAATTGCTCACCCTATAAAATTCAAACAG